CTCACCAGCCTCCACGATGGCCGGCTTGTTGCTGGGACACACGGAGAGCACCTTGAGCACGCGGCTGGTGGTCCACAGCAGCTTCTCATAGCTATAGTTCCGCATGATCTGCACCAGCGCCTGGGGTCCCCCGTTGGCCAGGATGATCAGCTGCGGGGTCGGAGGGGACAGACGGGGACAGGGGCGGCCATCAGCAGGAGCGTCGCCCAGTCAGGAGAGCCTTTGCTATCACAGCAGCCCCAACAAATTCTTTGTTTTTTCTTCAGGGACAGGGTCTCGCTACTGCCCTTGAACTCACTGCGATCCTCCTGCCTTGGCCTCCTGAGTGCTGGAGTGATGGGTGTCGCCCCTCCACCCAGCTCAAGACAAAATAACTTTTCAATCTTTTATTAACATTTGTTTGCAATATATTTTGTTTGTCTGTTTGTAGGGTCTCGCTCTGTAGTTCAGGCTGGCCTTGAACTCATTCTGTAGGCCAGGCTGGCCTCAAACTTGAAGTGATTCTCCTGCCTCAGCCTCCCAAGTATTGTTTGCAATATTAAACTGAATCCGTGAAACAAGGGTAACACCCACTGCTGGTGAGGAGGTGGCCAAGCTACTCACAGCCATGGTACCAGTGGAAACGGAACCACTGAGGTTAAGTCTAGGCTGCAGTGACGGCGGACCTTTCAGAGATTTCAAAGACAACAAGCAGGGACTGTGGAACATGTGCCAAAGGTTCGCCACCACTGGTCTAGGAGCACTGAAAATCCTTAGCCCCTACCAATGAAAACTTTACATTCTGGGAAAAGTTGTGTGCCCAGAGATGCCCATTACAGTTTGGCTTATAAAGGCGGGGGGGGGAAGGCTGGGGGAAGCAGACACGCTCCTGTAATCCCAGCACTCTGGGAGGCTGAGGCAGGAGGATCACAACTTTAATCCTAGCTGAGGCAATTTAGCCACTCAGCAAGACCCTGTCTCAAAACAAAAAAATGAAGAAAGCTGGGACACAGCTCAGGGCAAAGGCCAGGCCTGGGACTCGGCCCCCTGGGGCCCACCTTGCTCTCCTGGTTGCCGTAGGCCAGGAGCTGTAGGCAGTCAGTGGTGATGGCCAGGAACTTGGGGTTGTTCTTGTTGAGCAGTGGCACCATCTTCTGTAGCCCATCTGCTAGCCGCACGGCCATCTTGGCGCCCTCCTGGTACAGCAGCAGATTGTGCAGCGTGGTGATGGCATAGAACAGCACTGACTCCACGGGTGAGCTGCGGGTGGCGGTGGGCGGGCATCAAGGTCCCGTCCTGTTCCGTCCCGTCCTGTCCCCTTGATAAACTCAGCAGCTCCAGCACAGGGGAGGCCCAGGCTTCCCTCCCAGCACCACAAAAAATGAAGCCAGGCAGCTGGAAGTGAGGCTCAGGAGGGGACTGGACCAAGGGTGTAAACGTCGAGCTCTGCTACACAGAAAAACTACCCTTGCTGGGTGCGGTGGCGCACGCCTGTGATCCCAGCCCTGGAGGCTGAAGCAGGAGGATCCCTGAGAGATCGAGGCCAGCCTGGACTACACAGCAAGATGCTGTCTCAAAAAAGGAAAAAGAAAACCCTCTCCAGTAAGCAGCCAACTGATGACTCCCCTGCCGGCTTCTAAACTTTCCACTTGCTCAGCTGTCTGCTCTGCCGTGCAGCCCCCTCAGCCACCTCTTCATTGTGGCTGATTAACCACCGATCAGCCCACTGCTAAAATAACCACTGTCAACACTCTGTAATCTCTCTGTGCACAAGTGGTTTGTTTTGTTTTTGTGCTTTGTTTTTTCCTGACACAGGGTCTCATTGAGTTGCAGAATTACCCAGGCTGGACTCAGACTTGCAATTCTCCTGCCTCAGCCTCCTCAAGAGCAGAAATTCCAGGTGTTCATCACTGCACTGGCTTATATGCATTTTAATGGTTTGTTGTTGTTGTTGTTGTTGTTGTTGTTTTGGTTCCGGGGATTGAACTCGGGTCCTTGCGCTTGCAAGGCAGGCCACCGAACCGCTGAGCTAAATCCCCGGCCCTGTGCATTTTAATGTAATTGGAATAACCTATAAAGGATGTGTCTTACTCTTCATTTGCCACTGTAGCATAAACATGTGCCCATTCTCAGGAATGTTTCAGTAGTTTTAATGGCTGTATAATGTCTTATATTAAATACTATGCCATAATTGCTGAGCTTTTTTTTTCTTTTTTTTTTTTTTGATTTTTATGAAACAAGGTCTCACTATGTAGTCCATGCTGACCTTGAACTCACTAGATAGCCCAAGCTGGCCTTGAACCGGTGACAGCAAGCCTTTTAGAGCTTCCAATAACAATCAGCACACTGCAGCATGCATGCCACAGGGTTCACCACCACAGATCCTCCTGCTTCAACCTCCTAGAGTGCTGGGATTCCAGGCCTGCGCCACCATGCCCAGATTCTCACTGGACATTTAAATCAAATAAAAGCTCGTGGTCCCCTGAGCCAAGTGACACTCTTACACACAGGGTGCTGGGCACCCCATCCTGTCCTCTCCCGGCCAGACGGACTCCTGCTTCTGGTCCTGGCTGGTGCTGTGAACGGAGAAGGCTTGGGGACGCAGGGGGCGCAAAACCCACCCCTCTGCCCCCAGGAGCTGCAGCCCCACAGGGCCAAGGCCAGGAGGGCTCGGCGGCCGGGCGCTGCTGCCTTGGCTGGAACCCGGCCCTCT